CTATGAGGCTGTTCTAGAATTTGTACTTTTGACATTTTGTCTGATGGCCTTCAAATAAAAAAAGAAAGAAATTTAGATGCAAATCAACTTCTTTCGGAAATATACCATGCTCATTCTGATAAAAATTAAGAGTATATACTAATTTGTAAAATTGTTTAAATAATACGTTAGGTACTATAAGCCGTCAATTGAAAAACTCGGATTTTCTCGCGCTGCCCAAAAAAAATAATTTTTCCAGATGCTTTCCAGTAAGTCGATTTCTTGATGATTGTGGCCCCAGCTTTTGAAAATAATCTCTCGCATGGTACGGAAGTCGCAACTATATGTAGATAGATGTGCGCCTATTTTTATAACATTGGATAGGTTGATTTTAAATCCTCCCATTCCTCTAACGGATTGGATTTTAAGAGCAGACGGGGTTTGATAAATAAAGCTACAACTCATCACCTTTTGTAGAGTGTTTTCGTTTTTGTCCAATCGCAAGCTTTTTATGTTGGTACCAAAAGTCAAAATCTTCTTTAACAACGTCTTCTTCGGAGCTGGTATTAGCGTCTACTTGAATGAGACTTCTTAGTTTAAAAATTGCCCGACCGCAAGCGTTCGCATCTTGAAAATGAAGATTCTTGAAGCGATGATCGAGGATAGTTCCTAAAGCAGCGTAGGCGTTGTGTTCAATGAGACCAAAACTTTTACTATACTCCGCCAGGAGTTTCGTTTGTAGTTGGGTGACACAATCAAGAGTTGTAGAAAATTTACTCACTTGAGATGTTAGGCAGTTAACCATAGGTATGATCTTGGAAAGTGTGACATAATTCTGTCCTGAAGGTTCTTTGGTTACGAACTCGAAAGGCTTCAGTAGCTGAACTATTTGCATCAGTATTTCTAGCATAAAGTATAAGTTGAAACGAAACTTTGGACATATCCAAAAATCTTTCCAGCATGTAAAAGAGTGAATTCCAGCGCGTTCTAACGCCTAGGATGAATTTCTTGGTGGATCGTTCCGGAACTCTGGCTCGATCCAATTTGCAGGTTCATTCGCTACGAAAGAAATAGAACGCGCACCCTTTTTCGTAGAATTGTCAAAATTGGCGTCACCCCGACGTTGGCGCCTTCTTGCGGTTTTCATTGGCAACTAAACTGCCAAATTTTTTTAACTATTCACAAAAAAATTAGATTAAAAAATAAAAGTCCGGGAATAAAATTGTCAATGAATTGGGGTTTCGATACAAGTTTTTTTTTCCGATACGTACTCAGTACTCGGTTCAAAAGTATCGAGTACAAAATTACTTGGTATCGGACGAAATGTATCGAGTATGTACTTGTATTTACTAGTATCGTTTCATCCCTAGGTAAGAGGAATGAGAGCAATTCCAACAACAAACCAGCTAGCACAGAGTCGCATCTATCTTGCTATGCTTTCTTGCAAAATATGTGCATGGGTCCAGTTATGCAGTTCGTGTTACGTGAAACGGCTTTACATGATTTCGAGAATACGCCTTATATTTAACACGTGCGCAGGTATTTAATATTCGGCGTAGCCCGAACTTACCGTTCTGTATTTGTTTTATTAGATTTTTGTCTAAAAATATGACTACGAAGTAATTTTATTAAAAGGCATACATAGTAAAAGCATTTGAAATTGTCATAATTAGATCATTTAAAATAAAGTTTTAGGTGGTTATCTTTAGGGGCAGTAATGATAACAGTATATTTAAGTTTCAAGTCTCTAGCTCATCGGGGAGCTTCTTAAAAATCGAAATCCGGATAGACAAGAACGCGTGTTGATATAAACGTGGTAATAAAAATGGCGTAATTAACCATGAATGATTTAAACAAAACTAAATTATACATTGTTTCATTTTTATCTTTTTACCTCTCATCATATGATACAGCACGCATGATAGCTGGGTTTGTAATACTTAGATACAGTGGCGTAGCCAGGGGGTGATTGTGGGAAAGATCCCCCTTTTATTATGTATATCCGATCAGTTTGTCGTTTGTGAAATTTCGGTTTGTGATAGGACTGTCTGATCTGTTCTTTTAGTGTAAATAAGACGAAGTTATTTTACTTACGGCCCAACGTTTCGCTAATCTTCTTAGCATCTTTAGGGGCGTGTTTATTTTATTAATAAATAATAATAGATTGACGCTTACACATATGTTAGTGTTTGGCCGAGCTTCTCCTCCGATTTGTGGCGTGCGCCTTGATGTTGTCACACACAGCGGAGGGACCTACAGTTTTACGCCGACTCGGAACGGCGATTGTATATTTATGAGAAGCTGATTTTCATGGCAGAAATGCACTCGGAGGTTTGCCATTGCCTGTCGAGGGACGACCGCTGTTAAGAAAAACCCTTTTTTCTATATTTTTTTTTGATGTAGCTCTGGCCAGGGCTTGAACCCAGGTGCTGCGGAGTGGAAGCGCGCACTGCTTACCACTACACCACAGCGGCCGATTTTATTATCTATTAAAATCAAGTATAAATACATAAATATATATATAAGAATAACTAAAGGAACAAATACACATACATATACATAAGTACATATAAAAATTTCAAAAGAACGACCACGATATTGAACACATAAAATACTCACATAAAATTCGTCATTAAATTAACTTCATCTATTTAAATCCATACCACCTTCAGTGGTAGCTTTGTCTAAACCAAAAACTAAATTTGAATTATATAAACATATCAAGTAGGCGGCAGAAATGTCATCGGTGTCTTCTTTTTTGTTTTATGTATATCCTCTTTTTTGCAAAACCCTTAAACTTTCTAATGTGTATCTGGTTTTTTCTCGTTTTTCTAAGTCGATTATTTTTGTGGGTGCTACATCTGCTGAGCGCCTAGTAGTTCGTATGTGTTGTGAAAGCGGTGGACAAATTTTTTTTTTATATCTGTTTCATTTTCGTTTAAGCGCGTGCCTAGGGCTCGCTTAGTTGTTCCTCGTTCTCCTTACCCTTACATTTAATTTCATAAACTACGTTCTTTGTTGTTGAGAATCTACTGAGCCTTTTGCTTTTGTAAAACCAGTGAATAATGTGTAGTTAGATTTGTATGCAAGTGTAATGTTTTGTTGTTTTGCAAAGTCGCGGCCGAAGTTTTCGGTCAGCTTCGGAATGTATGTGACACTGTGGTATCTTTTTGTTGTGTTTATTGCATCTGTGCTTGAAGTTCTATTTTGATGATAGGTTGTTTGCATTAATTTTTGTTTTATTAGGTTGTGAGTTAAATGTTCAGGGTAGTTGTTGCTTTTTAGTAAGGTGACCAGAACTTTTTAACATTCCAGGAGGACAAATTCTCCACATTGAAAACACAAACAAATTTTTATAGTTATTTTAACGCATAAATAACGAATAAATAAACAATTCAAAGTTTCTCTAAACACAAATCAAACAAGTTAATAGTACACTGCGTTGCATAATTATAAGATCGCCACATATTAACAAATTCTGAATATCTATTTTCAACCGACTTAAAAAAAAGAAGGTCATCAATTCGTCGGAATAAATTTTTTAGTATGTTACCGCATACATTCGACCACCTGCACCGATTTCGATAATTATTTTTTTATCGGAAAGGTAGTGTCTCACGGTGACAGGAAACAAGATCAACGGATATAAGGTCAATTGACTTTATTTCGCACTGTTGCTTAATTTGAAAAAGGCTTACTTTATTGAGTCACAAAAGTAATTACAAAAATTGCTAAATTATCTTGCGTTAAAAGTCAGCGAAGAACATCCGATCCCGTTGAGCAGAATAAAAGAAGAGGGGAGAGGCATAGAGCGAAAAGTAAATGTCACAACGTCACTTGCACTGGTGTTGGCGTGTAAGCATTCCACTGATAGGCACAGGCTTGCATCAATTCGTAATATTCCGCCCACCTCGTCCAGGACCTGCGACGAAATCTGATGCCTTCCGACCATGTAGGTCTCAGTGTTCTCCCAGAGGTAGTACCACCAGTTTTGATATGGCACGCTTGATGATGGAGGCCGACGTACGAATAGTAGCAACTCTGACGATGTTATCAGATCCTGGGTGCACTTCAATTATGCGACCCAACATCCATTGGGTTGGTGGAGCGCGCTCGTCGCGTACTAAGACTAAGTCGCCGGGTGATAGGTTGGCACTTGTTTGACGCCACTTGCGCCGAACTTGTAACTCGCGCAGATACTCAAAGCTCCATCGACTCCAAAAGTTTTGATAGATTTGCTGCAACTGTCTCCATTTTTTAAGGCGGTTTGTGTTGACATCAAGCAGTGTCGGTTCAGGGACGGAAATTAACGGGCCGCCCACCAAAAAGTGGCCCGGAGTAAGCGCAGCAAAGTCGGTTGCATCATCCGACAAAGCGGATATCGGCCTGGAATTAAGCACCGCCTCAACCTGTTTAAGCACGGTGTAAAACTCCTCGAACGTGAGCGTTGCATTTCCAATGATTCGCTTTAAATGATGCTTCATGCTCTTAATACCCGCCTCCCAGATGCCTCCGAAATTAGGGGACCCAGGCGGGATGAAGTGCCACGATATTCCATGAGATGACACATACTGTGCCGCTGCGTCAAGCTGTTGTCGTAAAGCGTCGAGATCTGCCTTCAGCTCCGCATGGGCACCTACAAACGTTGTTGCACAGTCGCTGTATATGTCCGAACTATAGCCTCTTACAGAAAAAAATCGTCTAAGTGCTGCGATGAAAGTTGCTGTGCTCAAGTCGCTGACTAATTCTAAATGAATTGCTCGGGTGCTGAAGCATACAAAAAGGGCAACATACCCCTTGTAGCTGTGATGGCCCCTGCCCTTGGTGGTGCGAATTTGATAGGGCCCACCGTAATCTAGGCCACAGTGACTAAACGCCCTTGCCACGTTGCAGCGTTGAGTGGGAAGGCTCCCCATTATTTGGTTTGCTGGAACGCCCCGGTGGCGAAGACATCTCACACAGCGATGAATAAAGCGTTTGATCGCTGAACGAGCATCAACCATCCAGTAGCGCCTTCTTACAAAGTTGAGTGTCGCTTGAACGCCACCATGCAACGTATACTCATGAGCTTGAGTGATTAGTAACACGAACAGGGGGTCATTCTTTGGTAAGAGACATGGAAATCGCTCATGGAAAGGCATGTCCGCGTTCTTCAAGCGGCCGTTTAACCGCAAAATGCCGTCTTCATCCAACATTGGATTCAGTTTGAGTAACTTGCTTTTCGAACTAATCGACTTGTTACTGCGAAGACAAGAGATCTCATTAGCAAAATGTATCTGCTGTACATACCTTATCCAGAATTTCAAAGCCATGGCGCGTTCGGATGCTGTGCACCATTTGGTTGTAGCATGTGGTCGCTTCAGTTGTATGGCAAGAAATCGCTGACACCAAGACGTTACTGCTAATAGCATGTTGATATTGGAATACTTCTGAAGCAGGGTTGCGGCGAGCGTTGGTATCGGGTTATCCGAAATTGCTACTAGCGAGGCGACTGGGTTTTCACCTTGGCATGATGAGATGTCGCCTTGATCCGGCCATTTAAATTGTGGACAGAGTAACCATGGAGGTCCATCCCACCACAGCGACAAGTCGGCGAGCTGAGATGGGAAAACTCCCCGGGACGCGACGTCGGCTGGGTTGGTTGCAGTAGGTACATACTTCCAAGAGTCAACTTGTGTAAGCTCTTGAATTTGAGTTACCCGGTTGCTGACATACTGTTTGTGCTTACCAGGACTTGACCGGATCCAGCTGAGAGTGGTTTTAGAGTCAGACCAACAGTACGTTTGTATTGCTGGTAGTGTTATTGTTGATAGGACTTTAGCGGCTACTTTTGCCGCAAGAAGAGCGCCGTTTAGCTCCAAACAAGGGATGGTGATCTTTTTCAGCGGCGCAACTTTGGTTTTGGCAGTGAGGACCGATATTTTGATGTTGTTATCTGAATCCTCTACACGAAGGTATGCGACAGCGGCATAAGCAATAGTCGATGCGTCGGAGAAAACGTGCAGCTGGTAATTGCGTACGCTGGGAGCAGCTCCAATCCATCTGGGCACTTTAAGATGCTCAATTTCTGGTATCTCTTTTCTGAAGCGTTGCCACTCTTGTTGAAGGGGATCAGGGATGGGATCATCCCAATTGCATCCCGATAACCACAATTGTTGGCAGACAGCCTTGGCTTTCACTACAACAGGGGCTAGCAGACCAGGAGGATCGTAGATTTTAGCCACATCTGATAGTTGCTGCCTCTTTGTGATGCTCCCAGTGATAGCTGTTACATTGGCCTTGTAACTAATGCTGTCGGTATCACAAAACCAGTAGATTCCTAGAGCTTTTGTTTCGCGATCAAGGTTTAAATTACAGCAGAGATCTGGATGGTCTTCTACCGAGTACACTTGTCGCCTGAATTCATGGGAGTTTGTACTCCATTTACGCAAGTTGAACCCTCCGCGTTGCAGTAGCTGTTGCAGCTGGCGCTGAGTGTCAATAGCCCCGTGCAGGCAGTCATCCATGTAGAACGACTCCTTCAATATCCTTGAAGCTGTTGGGAACTCCGCCTCTTCATCAGTCGCAAGTGTGTGTAGAACCTTTATGGTGAGGTAGGGCGAGCAATTTAAGCCGTAGGTTACAGTCAGCAATCGATATATGGCGGGGTTTCCCCGCTCGTCGCGCCAGATGATACGCTGCATATCAGCGTCAGCCCTGCTGACTAAAATCTGACGATAGCACTTTTCGATGTCCGCCATGAACCCGATTCGATGCATACGCCACTTTAAGATGATTGAGCTCAAGTCGCTTTGGAGCTTGGGGCCGACATGAAGGCAATCATTTAAAGAGACGCCTCCCTTGTATTTCCTCGATGCGTTAAACACCATACGAAGCTTCGTCGTAGAACTTGCCTCCTTATAAACGCCATGATGAGGTATGTAGCACACTGGCTGTGAGTTGTCACTCGCTGGCACTGGTTCCATATGGCCGAGGCTAAGGTACTTGGCCATGAACGCTGCATACATGTCGTTCATCTTTGCATCGTTGCGAAGACGAGCTTGTTGATACGCAAATAACTTGAGCGCGTCTGATTTAGAGTCAGAGAGTTTAGTTAGGTCACAGGACTCTTTGAAGGGATATCGAACTTGATACCGTCCTGAGCGGTCACCGCACACTGTACGTTCAAAGATTTTCTCGCAATAGATCTCATCTTGTGTCATCTTAGAGCAGCTTTCCTCACCATCAATGTTGTTGAATTTCCACATTTGCTGGACCAAGTTGTTGAGCTCAATAGTGGCTGTTGCATAAAAGGTGGTTGCTAGTTGTAGCGTAGATGCGTTGGGCAGGCGCCCGTAGACTACCCAACCTAAATGAGTGTTCTGGGCGATAGAGTCGCTGGTGATTGAGCGCTTGATCTCGCCACGCAAGAGGAGACCGTAGAGATCCGCACCGATGACGACATCAATAGATCCTGGTTCGAAGAAGTTCGGATCTGCTAGTGGCAGACCAAGAAAATCGGCGTACGGCGTTGGATCGACGCGTTTTATTGGCATCAGGTGCCCTAAGCGTGGAAGTACCAGGGCCGAGCAATCGGTATTGAACTCAGGCTCTGTAAGTGAATACAACGAGAAGTGTACTACGCCCTTGGATTTACCTACACTACAGCCACCTATACCGGTGATGGGTACTTGGAGACGGGTTCTGCGAAGATGTAGTTGTTGAG